AAAGGGCCCTCCTTGAACGCGCACATGGGGGAGATACCACGGATGAGGAGATGGGGGAGAGGCGAAACGAAGATGGAGGTGAGGGAGATGACCAAGGTCACGATAGCAAAGTCCAAAAATAGTTTCCCTGCCGAATGTCCAAGACGAAGATGGAGGTGAGGGAGAAGACCAACATCGCGATAGCGAAGTCCAAAAATAGTTTCCCTGCCGAATGTCCAATCAATGTCTGCCACGACATGTCGAATCAGATCCTGGGCTTCGTGTCTGATGTAACCTCTGGCTGTAACCTCTCTCTCTCTCTCTCTCTCTCTCTCTGAAGGAAGAAGAAAAAAAAGAAGTGGGAAGGAGGAAGGAGGAGAGATGGAGGGTGAGAAAAGGAGAAGAAGAAGAAGATGTCGTCCTCCTCGCTCCCTCACCTGGAGGAAGGAGGAGAGATGGAGGGTGAGAGAAGAAGGAGAAGATGCCGCCCTCCTCGCCACCTCACCTGCAGGTAACTGCCACCACGTACTGACTGTTGCCGCGTGCCTCTCTGTGCTGCCAAGATCGGAATAACGAAGTCCAAAAATAGTCTCCCTGCCGAATGTCCAATCAATGTCTGCCACAAATGTCGAATCAGATCCCGGGCTTTGTGCCCGCTGTAACTTCTGCCTGTAACCTCTCTCTCTCTCTCTCTGAAGGAAGAAGAAGAAGAAGAAGAAGAGGGAAGGACGAAGGAGGAGAGAAGGAGAAGAAGATGCCGTCCTCCTCGCTACCTCACCTGCAGGTAACTGCCAGCACATACTGACTGTCACCGGGTGCCCCTCGGTGCTGCAGTCCGCTGGGCCGAAGACCAGCTATGGCGCCCAGGTGAGTACTCGCCGTAGCAGGTATGGCCTCCGCCTCATTCCCTACCTACACCTCTACCGCTAGCATAGCGCTGTCGCGCTGCTCCAGCAGCGTGTTGCCCAAGAAGTGAGCTACTTGAACTGTGTCTCTTCCCTGGCGTGGCCCAGCTATAAGTAGCGCTGGGCCTCGCGGGTGTGCCCTCCGTGTGCCTCTGTTCCTAGACCTAAAACGGCCTTCCTGGGTCCCTACCGGACGTCCAGGCCCTCCCTGCTGATGCAGCACGGAGTGTCTGCTATCGTACAAAAGTGGACCTGGCCCAACAGGGCCTGCCTATGTCCGTTCCGGGCCAAAAACGTGGTCTTGTTTGAACAGACCCAAGGTCTTTTCGGAACGACGCCTGAACAGACAAAAATAGGACAGCAACTAAATAAATAAATGAATGCTGCCAAAATAGGACAGCAACTAAATAAATAAATGAATGCTGCCTCAAATCGAAACCTGCAGCCCTAAGGCCAGCCATGGGCCTCCAGGGCGCATGTCTGAAGGTGTGCGGCCTGGGGCCCCCCAGCAACCGTCGGGGCCCCAAAATGGGACCCGTGTGCAGGCTCAGCATGTAACATTCTCTCTCTCTCTCTCTCTCTCTCTCTCTCTCTCTCTCTCTCTCTCTCTCTCTCTCTCTCTCCTGACAAGTCTTGATCACCCTCTTACTCACCCTACCTCTGTCCTACAGCTCTGGCGCTCAGGCGTCCTCCCTAGCCATGGCTACTCTCTCCCTTCTTCCTGGTCTGAAGCTGTCTTCTTCCTCTTGGCCCCAGCCTCCTCCTTCCACCTCTAGCACTCAGCAGCGCTTTGGCCAACAATGCGTGCAAGGCAGAATGAATGAGCGGTTGGGGCAGGCATCTTTTGTAGAGGTGACCGGTCTTATCCTGCCTCAGTTTGCCTCCTTGGGCGGTGGAGAATTCTTTATCTGGGCTCCCCAAATTTACTGTCGGCCAATGTGTGCCTGGATGCAGCAGGTACTGGGAAACTTCCGAGGCAGTACAGACAGACAGCCTTTGACTGTGCCTCAGATCTATGGCTATGGTTGACCCCCGAGAGATCTCTGACTCCTGACCTGCTTTTTGGGCCTGACTCCTGATTTTCCTGGAGTCCACTACCTCCCGGGGGGTACAGACAACCTAAATTTGACTTTGGACCTTGTCCCTGTTGACCCAAGGACTTTTCTCAGACCCCTCTAACACAGGAGACGCAACTTTTGACCCCTGAATCTGGACTTGGAGCAAAGTTACAACCCTGGACACTGTCTGTGCGGATTTTGGATTGACCAAAAGTTACGACCCTGGACACTGTCTGTGCGGATTTTGGATTGAGTTTATTGCAGACAATAGCCCCGTGAAAGGATTCACGCTGCAGACACCCAGTCCCGGTCCCAAGGTCCTAATAAGTCCCAAGTCAAGAGCCGTCCGTAGGGTAGGCCGTAGAGCTCCAGGGTCGAAGTGTCGAAGGTCTGTAGCTGTCGGTACCAAAACGTAGGTAGGTGGGGGTATACCCGGTACCCGACAAGAAAAGTCCAGAAGCGTCCAGTCCAGTCCGACAGTCCCCAAGTCGAATTTCGCAGCATGTCCCAGGAAAGTCCGGAAGGTACCGGACCGACAAAATGTTTGCAGCAGACAGGCCACGGCCGACCGGTACGGGTCTGAATCAGGCCAAGCCAAGCCAAGCAAAGCCAAGCCAAGTCCTACATTTAGCTGCTACAGTGCAGCGGCTCGTCACTTGTTCAGTTGCAAGATGCAGACGCGGTGCTGCTGCTTGTGCGTTACGGCAACTTGGGCACTGTACGCCTGAGGATGAAGTGGGCGCCTGTGAGATAGTCCATAGCTAGGGTAGAGGTAGAGCAGGAAGACCACGGCCTTAGCCACCAAGGTGTAAGATACCTGAGTGGGTGTATCCAGGGTAACGATCAACGAGAGAGAGAGAGAGGGAAGAAAGGGAAGCCATAGCTGCTACTTGGTTGAGATCTGCAGTGTGTGTGTGTGTGGCAGGGCCGCTAGTGACGAACATTCTTGTATATTGGCAATAATGTTGGAGACGACATCTTCACGTGTGGATTGTATCTCGTTTTGGCTTCTCATGTGTGAACTCTCATGTGGATGATCGCTGGTGTTTGCAAGCTGAACTCGACTAGTGTTTGGATCATTTCAGTTGTCTAGCTCTGCTTTTTTCTCCCTCGACTTTCTCTTTGTCGCCAAGGAGCCGAAGATAGGGTGGGAAGAGACAAAAACAAAATATTTACCAACTGGCCTAGCTCAGGTGGTACATCCCTGCACAGTTGAAAACACAGACCTGAGTTCCAACTCCACTTGAAGCAGACTAGTGAAAAATACGACAATTCTGAATTACCTAGGGCCTGTCAGTTCGGTGATGGTATCTCAAGGCCGTCGCCCTTTTAAAAAGCAAGAAATAAAAGAAAAAAGTAAGAGGAAAGGAGAGAACATGAGCGAAAAAAAACACGAAAATAAAATATCTTCGATGAAAATAAAACATCTATGGGAAAAATCAAACGTGTTGCCCTTCCAGAGCAACGGTAACTTGCTGGTTGTCTCGCTTCTCTTCACCCGTCTTTTTTTACAAGTGTATTTAATATTTACTATTTACTTGTTGCAACGAGGAGTATTTACTATTTACTATTTACTTGTTGCAATGAGGAGTATTCACTATTTACTTGTTGCAATGAGGAGTATTTACTATTTACTTGTTGCAATGAGGAGTATTTACTATTTACTTGTTGCAATGAGGAGTATTTACTATTTACTTGTTGCAATGAGGAGGAGTCTGAAGGACGTACCAAGAAATGAAAGGTTTGAAGTGGGGGGGACTTGGGAGAGCGGGGGATGTGTGGGGGAGTTATTTTTTCCTGAGGGAAAATATGCATATGAAGCTGGGCTATGAACAGGACCGCCCGGCTCACACCTTGGTTGCCTGGGCAGCATGGCCGGGTGAGGGACCGGGAAGGCCCGTGCAAAAACGAAACATAACAAGAAATGTAAGGTTGGAAGTGGGGGGACTTGGGGGAAAGCGGGGGATGTGCGCCGAGTTCTTTTCTTTTTCTGAGCGAAAATCGCATATGAACTTACATTGTTATGAAGTTATAAAGATGGGGATTGCGTGTATACCCGTTCCCAGTGCCCATCTTGGTCCATACCTGAGGCCTTGGCAAAAGGACCCAGTGTCCATCTTGGTCCATACCTGAGGCCTTGGCACAAAGACGGAGGGGCCATCACTAGGGACAACCGACGGGGCCGAAGGGGAGAGCAATCTCCGATCAGATCCCTACTCAACACCCGCCGGAGAGGCCACCATGTCGATACCTGAGGCCTGAGCACACAGTTGCAGAGGCAATCACTAGGATAATAAAAGGTGCAGGGAAAGGGCAATCTTCGCTCAGACCCCTACTTCACTGCCCCTGGAGCGTCAGTGAAGTCCACACCTGAGGCCCGGGTATAGGGTTCGCGCAGCCAGCCAGGGATATCCGGGGGTTCGAAAGGGAGGGCAATCTCCGATCGGATCCTTATACTCTCTATCCCCTTGGAGAGGCAATCAGCTCTATACCTGAGGCCTTGGCACAGGGTTGCAGTGGCCGTCACTACCGTAGCGATAACCGGGGGGGGGGTTGGTTGGGGGGGTCGGAGGGGAGGGCAATCTTCGATCGGATCCCTACTCCCAGCCCTTGGAGACTCGGTAAGGTTCACACCTGAGGCTTGGGCTCAAGCTTGGAGTGGCCATCACTACCATCCTCACCCGAATAGAACGCCCGGTCATTATCGCTGCATCTGGACTGAAAGTCGTGCCATATACAGCTATAATGACCTGGCGTTCTATGCGGGTGAAGACGGTGGGATAACCGGAATGTCCAAGGAAGTGGGCCATCTCCGATCAGATCCCTACTTCCCAGCCGTGGAGAGGCAGCCAGGTCCATACTTGAGGCCTGAGCACAATGTTGCAGCTGCAGTGGCCAACAGTAGGGATAACCTCGGAGGCGGAACGACAGGGGAGCCTCCCCATCGGATCCCTACTCCCCAGCAAATGGAGTGACAGTCAGGTCCATGACTGAGGCCTGTACACAGGGTTAAAGTGGCTATCAAAAAAACAGGCGTTGGGGTGGGGGGGGGGGGKGGGGTTGGGKGTTTGATTCATTGATTGWTCGGRTAAAAAAAAAAAAAAAAAAAAAAAATGGAGGAGACTGATGAGGAGGAGGCCGCGGCGATGAAGAAAGTGGCCTCCTCTTCTTCTTCTTCCTCCTCCTCCGTCGCCCTGGTCTCTTACTCCTCCACCTCCTCCTACTCCTCTTCTTCCTCCTCTTCTTCCTCCTCCTCTTCCCACTCCTCCTCCTCCTCCTCCTCCTCCTCCTCCTCTTCTTCTTCGTCGTCCTCTAAGTTCTCTCCCTTCTCCACCTCCATTGCCGTGGCCTCCTCCTCCACCTCTTCTTCCTCCTCCTCCACCTTCCCCTCCTCCTCCTCCTTCGACGTCGTCGTCCTCTTCGTCCTCCTCCTCGTCCTTCTCCATCGCCACGGCCTCCTCCACCCTCCCTTCTTCTTCTTCCTCCTCGTCCCGCCAATCCCTGTCCCCCTACTCCTCGTTCTCCTCCCCATCCTCACCGAATCGATAATGGCCTCTGCTTCTTTTTTTTTTTTTTGCCCGATTAATCAATCAATCAATCAATCGATCGATCCAAGATCCCATCGAATCGATTGATTCGATAGGATCTTAACATATCAAGATCCTATCAAATCAATCGATTGGATGGGATCTTCAATCGATCGATCGATTGATCGATTGATTGATTGATTGATCGATTGATTGATTGACTGATTGATTGAAAAAAAAGCGGGGATGGCCGGCGGAGTGATCGGGTGGCCAATCACTTTGGCCCCTCCCACTCCTCCTCCTCCTCGACCATCGTCGGGGCCTCCTCCTAGTCCTCATTCTCCTCCCCATCCTTGTCACCTCTCCTCCTCCACCTCCTCCCCCGCTGCCACCGCCGCCGCCGCTGCCTCTTCCTCCTTCACCCCCGTCGGCGCCTCCTGCTCCTCCTCCTCCTTCGTCGTCGTCCTCCTCTCCGTCCTTCTCCACCGCCACGGCCTCCTCCTCCCCCGCTTCTTCTTCTTCCTCCTCGTACCGCCAATCCAATCCCTGTCCCAATCCACTCCCTGTCCCCCTACTCGTCGTTCTCCTCCCCATCCTCACCGAATCGATAACGGCTTCCTCCTCCCCCGTTGTTTTTTTTTTTTTCTGTCCGATCAATCAATCAAGCAAGCAAGCAAGCAAGCAATCGATCAATCTATCAATCGAAGATCTCATCGAATCGATTGATTCGATAGGATCTTGATATCAATCGATCAATACAAGATCCCATCGAATCGATTGATTTATCAAGATCCTATCGAATCAATTCTATTCAATGGGATCTTCGATCGATCGATCGATCGATTGATTGATTGATTGATTGATTGATTGAAAAATGAGTGGGGAGGGACGGCAAAGTGGTCGGGTGGCCAATCACTTCGGCCCCCTCCCACTCCTCCTCCTCCTCCTCCTCCTCCTCCACCACCACCACCATCGTCGGGGCCTCCTACTCATTCTCCTCCCCATCCTCGTCATCTCTCCTCCTCCACCTCCTCCCCCGCTGCCACTGCCGCCGCCGCCTTTTCGTCCTTCACCCCCGTCGGGAACTCCTCGTACTCCTCATCGTCCTCCTCTTCTTCTTCTCCTTCTTCCTCCTCCTCCTCCTCCTCGTCTTCTTCCTCCTCCTCCGTCGCCGTGGCCTCCTCTTCCTCAACTTCCTCCTCCTCCATCGTCGGGCCCTTCTCTTCTTCCTCCTCTTCTTCCTCCTCCTCTTCCCACTCCTCCTCCTCCTCCTCCTCCTCTTCTTTTTCTTCCTCCTCTAAGTTCTCTCTCTCCTCCTCCATCGCCGTGGCCTCCTCCTCCTCCACCTCTTCTTCCTCCTCCTCCGCCTCCTCCTCCTCCCCCTCCTCCTCCTCCTCCTGCTCCTTCTCCTCCTCGCCCTCCATCATCGGGGCCTCCTCCTGGTCCTCCTCCTCTTTCGTCGTCGTCCTCATCTTCGTCTTCCTCCTCGTCCTTATCCATCGCCACGGCCTCCTCGTCCTTATCCATCGCCACGGCCTCCTCCTCCCCAGCTTATTCTTCTTCCTCCTCGTCCCGCCAATCCTTGTCCCCCTACTCGTCTTTTGTTTCTGTTAACAGCCTCCTCCTTCCCCGTTTTTTGTTTTTGTTTTTTCTTGTCCGACCAATCAATCAATCAATCAATCACGACTCAATCGATTCTATGGGATCTTCGATCGATCGATTGATTGATTGATTGAGTGATTGATTGATTGATTGATTGATTGATTGAAAAAGGAGTCGGGGAGGAGGAGGCCGTTGTCGAATCGGTGAGGATGGGAAGGAGAACGACCAGTAGGGGGACAGGGATTGGCGGCACGAGGAGGAAGAAGAAGAAGCGGGGGAGGAGGAGGCCATGGCTATGGAGGACGAGGAGGAGGACGAGGAGGAAGACGAAGAGGAGGAGGATGACGAACGAGGAGGAGGAGGCCCCGACGATGGAGGAGGAGAAGGAAGCCCCGACGATGGAGGAGAAGGAGGAGGAGGACGAAGAAGAAGAGGACGAGTAAGAGGAGAAGGACGAGGAGGAGTATGAGGAGGACGAAGAAAAAGGAGGCGGAGGAAGAAGAGGTGGAGGAAGAGGAGACCACGGCGAAGGAGGAGGAGGAGGGAGAGAAGGAGGAAGAAGAAGACGAAGAGGAGGAGGAGGAGAAGGAGGAAGAAGAAGAGGAGGAGGAGGAGGAGGAGGAGGAGGAGGAGGAGAAGAAAGACGAGGTGAAGGAGGAGGAGAGGAGGAGGAGGAGGACAACTGGGATGGGGCCGAAGTGATTGGCCGCGGCGATGGAGGAGGCCCCGACGATGGAGGAGGAGGAGGAGGAGGAGAAGGAAGACGAGG